TGGAGGGGTCCCCGTGTCTGCGCCCAGCCGCGCGGGGATGTTGGGTGCCGCTTCGTTGGCCTTTGGCGAGCAGCGATGTAGAGAGGAGCACGGGAGCCGAAGCCGGGGCTTGATTCGCGTCCTGCTCCGTGACCGAGATGCGGCCGCTTTGTGTCTCCACCTCCGCCTGGAAAAGGCAGGTGCTGCCAGGCCCCTCGCGCGGAGGTTTGGAGAGACTCGAATCACTGTGCGAGGTGCTTGAAAAACCGCCCCAGGTGGTGACGACGCCTTATCGAACCGCCCGCGTGTCCGGCAGGGTCCCGGCCGCGCTGGGAGCGCCGCGGTGCTCTGCTCCGGACCGCTGCTCCTCCCCAGCAGCCTCTTCCTCCCAGTGTCCTTCCCAAGCCTGGCGCTGGCGCGGAGATGCTGCCGCCGTCCCCAGGGGACGGGACCGCCTGGGCCACCCTGCCCACCCGGGAGACCAAAAATGCCGCTAAAAGGAGCGCGAGCAGCAGCCCCGCGGGTCTGCCCGGGGCGGAGGGTCCTGGCACCGCGGAGGCTGGGGGCATCTCGGCCCCAGCCGTCCCCGCAGCCGGGTGCGAACGGCTGCAGCGGCGCTGGGGGAGACGTGGGGACACTGGGGACACTGCGAGCAGCCGCTGAGGAGCATCGCGCGTGTGGGGTGGTTTTACAGGCTAAACTCGGCTTCTCCCCGGCTCTTTAGCTTTCTTTATCCGCTGCAAACTTCCTAATTGCCGCTGATCCTAACCGTTGTCTTCCTGTGCCGAAGCCGCGAGGAGCCCGCGGCTGCTCTTTCTTTCCGTGGAATCCCTTTATCTTCAGGAAACATGAAATCGCGTGTGTGTTTCTAGGAAGGGATTATTGCAAGAAACAAAGCCGGGAGACCGCGTCGCCTCGAGACGGAGCCGTGCGATTTGTCTCCAAACGCCCTCTTGTCTATCTCCAAACCCAGGGAGAATGAAACGGAGACAAATGATTAAAATGGCAGATGTTAAACGATATTGGGAAGCCGGAGCAGACGGAGCAGCTCGGCTTTTCCTGCAGCGCTGTGGGGACACCGGGGAGCCCGACGGGGAGGCCAGCGCCTCCCCTTGTCCCCGTCCGAGTCGCGGGGTGGCTTTGCCGCCCTCCTCGCGCCTGCTCCTTCCTTGCTGGCCCTTGCAGGGTCCCAGCGCCGGCGGGTTGTGCCCTCTGCAGAGCCCGGCCGCGAGCTCCGTCACCGAAAGCTCTGGGGAGCAGACGGGGAGCCCCGCGCTG